TTAAACCCTAGCCTAATTGAAATCAGATTTAAATAAGTCAAACAAAGTCTGTTAATGCTGATTTGCTGGAAACTGCTGTAGTAAAATGCAGATATCTAGAAGTAAAGCATGTCATCTACACACATTAAGCCTTTAAAAGGTGGGGAATAAATTGACATCTGTGGAGAGGGTTTGTTTTTCTGAATCTTGCAGTGTTGATGTTACCAAGTTGATGGCTGTTACCAAGTACTTGCTAACTTCTAAACACACAGAAACACACATTCTTTTACAAGAATGCAAGATTCATAAACTGAGGTACCTGTTTAAGACTAGTCATGAGCCCTCAATCTTTGATTTGTTTCCTTTACCTTCTTGATGTTTTTAGTGCATTACAGAGTTCTTGAAATTTTCTTTCACTTTCTAATATACTTGCCTTTTTTCTTTTATTTTTCTTTTTTTTTTTTTTTTTCTTTTTTTTTTTTTTTTTCTTTTTTTTTTTTTTTTCCCCTTCCATACTATGTCCTTTAATAGTTGCTGTAAAGGAGATGTTCTTTTGCTTTATGTGTACAAGTTTTTGGTTCCTGCTTGGTGATACTGGTCTGCAAAGATGTTCTTGTTTTGTTTGGTTCTCATAAGATTCAGCAGGTCTTGTCAAAGAAGGCAGTATGGTGCACAATATAATGCTTTTTTTGGGCAACCACACATCAGTAAGTAGAGAATAGTTTTGCTTGTCAGAAGAACCATTTCAGGTTATGGATGACTGCATAATTTCTCCTACTGTTTCTCATTGCTGAACTAATAATACATTTTATTTCTACCTTTGAGTCAGTTTCCAAGTAGGAGTAGTTGAAGCATGGCTTAATTTTGTCAGGATATGATAGTTTCTATTACATTAACTTCCAAGGGAGCAAAATTCATCTCAACTTACATTATATTCCAAGTGCAGTAAGAAATATTCAGTGAGAGATGAAAATAATGAAGGGGAAAAAACTCTAGTTGAAAAGTTAAGCATTGTTACTGTTTATTCAATATTGGGTAGTGTTGCATTAAAGCTATAGACTTCAGCTTTTGTTATTTCAGGTTAAAATGATACTGTTTTGAAGGCAGAGTTTTGGGTGGGCTTGAATTTTAAAGTAAGCTGCATGCAGACATCTGCACCTTAATGAAATTTCTGAAGGCAAAAAAAAATTGTCTAACAGGAAAAAGCTAAAGGCACATGAAGTAGATTTTAGATAGGAGACTTCATAGTTATTCTGAGGGTAAACTATGACTCTACATTTAAACTCAGGCAAGCATTTCAAAATAATAGTATTTCAACTTTTAATGCAATTTTGGGGAAGTAAAATGTAAGTCTTGCATTCCTGCTTAATATCAAAGTTAACTCTCAATCTAGAAGGCAGATCAATTGCAGAAGAAAAGTACAAGCATATAATTCAAAACAAACCCCCATTTGGTTTCCCACAGGTAACTTGATAGCACTAGCTGCTTTTTTCAAGCCAATAAAACATTGCACCTAAATGCAGCACAAAATATCTCACTTTTATGAGTCTTTTCTCAACAGTATGACTCTTCCCTCTATATAGATGGAAAAGACAAATTAAATATGGCAGCCATATTAAGTTAACATTTTATGAGATGTATGCTGCAGAGACTTTCTTCCATCAAGTGTGGTGCTAGATATATTTCACTCCCTTTTCTTACAAAATAAAGCTTTCTTTTTCATATGTAAAAATCAATATAGTTAAAAAGAAATGCAGTCGAGCCTTCAATAAACATCTTAAAACCCCTTTCTTATTCACACTTAGCTAAGATCAAAGCTATGGACTTAGATGCAGATATACCGTATGGAAATAGAATTACTTCATCTTCTTTTATCATTTCAATACAACTTCCTTGCTTTTATCTTTAGAATTTCTTGAGTACTCAGGCCTTGTACTGTCCATTTGCACAGGGGTGAACTTTATACCTTATGTATGTTTTTGTTATGATTATTATATGTCAGCTTTTTAAGAATATTTCTACTGAAGGACTTGCTCCTCCATGCCCAGCACACAGGGGGCTCTTCAAGAGTGCCTGAATGGTTGCTTCCAGCAGTTCTTTCCTGCTCTGTGATACGTGAATGCCCTTTGGGTGCTTCCAGTCCACACAGGGATGAGGTTCAGTTGTGCACCGTTCCTCACCAGTGCTTTCTTATATGGAGAGAAAACTTAGGTTCTTGGCCAAGTGAGTGCCGTGGAAGAGACCAGCAGATCCATCCTCTGCACAATCACGACACCAAGATTCTGTGAAGTTATAAAAAAAGGTTTTTACCATTCAATTTAAATATGCTTTTTTATCCCTTCCTACAAATTCCACTTAGTTGTGTCCTTACCCAAATCCATCCTAATAGAAGGAAACACAGCCGAGCGTGAACTTAAAATGAGACTTTTAGCTTAAAGACTTCATGTGGACTTTCCATTCGTATCCAAAGAAATCTCAAGTGAGATTATTTTATTCTTCCCATACATTGTACCAAGGAACTTCTACCCTGTATACAGTTTTTGCCTCTTCAGAAAGTATTTTGAAAAGGCAGGAGAGTTCCCAAAAGTGCAGAAAGAACAGTAGGAGTTCTACAAATCCTCTCTTGTAGTTGGAAGAGTAATAATCCCAATTTACAAACTGTAATGAAGGCAAGGCTGAGTTACTTCATGAGGGTCTGAAGACCTAAGGGGACAGATTTCTAAGACCTGGTATTACTTTATGCTTGCAGAAATAGATAAAATTATTTTCTGTGGCTGGAAATTGAAACTAAGCAAATTCAAACAAAGTGTAAAGAATTAATTCTTAAATCTTGGATTAAGCATCCTCTTTGAATCTGTATTTTTAAAGGACCACTGCAGTGCTTTTATTAAATAGGGACTGAAAATAGAAGGTGATTCCATTTCCTGTGATGTGAAACAGCTGATCACCAGTTTGTGGTCAGACTGAAACAGCTTCTGGCCTGACAGCTCTCTCAGTATAATTTCTTCTTTTGAAACTGTGCAGCAAGCTTCATAGCTTTTCGTTTCTACTTTTACTTTTTTTTTTTTTGGTGGGAGAGTTATGGAAAATCCAATGAGATTCTGAAAACAAATAACATTGCAGCAAGTAGGTTTCTTATCCTAGTGTCGTAAACCACATAACTTTGCTCTGAGTTAAATGAGAAATACACTACTGTTTATTTCTACAATTAAAACAGCATTTCAGCAGAAACAGTCGTTTTTCAGAAGGCTTTTACCATGGAAAATATAGCAGTCACCCTTCCAGATACTTTGACAAATACTACCTTGCTCTAATGTATTAATCAGGCCCAGTCATCTTGAAATAACATCACCCACTACCATATTGAGCATGGTCCTCTATGATATCCTATGACAGGAAACTTTTTGAAAGGATGAATATTCACAAATGTTTTGAAGATGGCAGCTATCCCCCAAGCAGTTTATAGGCATATAATGAACTGAAGAGACTAAGCTACAGCATCCCTACTCTACATAAACTTCAGTCAGCCTTCTGCTGGATAAACTTTGTTTGAAATATCTCCCAAGTGCAGAATGAATGAACAAAATTTTGAAATAATTTCTTCTAAAAAGAAGGGTAGTCCAGTAATTAAAGCAGTAGTCCTGGACTGGAGATCTAGTTTCAGTTTCTTCTTTTGTACAAGGACTTGGATGTCCTTGTACAACAATTTATCCTTGACAAGTTTTTTATTCTCTTTCTGTACTGTGCTTCCAGCAGTGCATCCCACTGTTGGAATACTGATCCATTGTGTGCCCAGGAAACATATCAACCCTATGTATACCCATCATTTCCATGTCTCTTGAAATTCACAGAGCAGAAGCCTAGATACTCACCTGCAGAGAGGCTGTGGTGCCCTGCAGACAAGTGCCAGTCAGGTTGCCTGACCCATCAGGAGCCTAGGAGACAAAGTTCAGTGGAGGTGAAATGCAGCAGCTGTATCTATTCCTGAGTCTCTTATTGTTGCTCCACAGAGCTGTGACTGTGAACTACTCCGGGGGTATTGAACTACCCTGGTATTTTAATGTATACTGTATTGGTCAGCAAATCACAGTTTTTTATGCTCTCACAGAATGGTTGAGTGAGAAGGGATATCTGGAGGCCATGTTGTACAACTGCCTGGCTCAAGCAAGGCCACCTAGAGTCAGGACCCATCCTGGCACCTTTTGAGTAGCTCCAAGGAGGAAGATTCCACAACCTCCTTGGGAAGCCTGTGCCAGTCCTCACAGTAAAAAAAAAAAAAAAAAAGAAAAAAAAAAAGAAGCATTTCTTGGTACTCAGAGGGGAGCCTCCTGTGTTTCAGCTTGTGCCTGCTGTCTCTGTTTCATACTGTCACCCTAGTAACACTGTGGGAGAGTATTAGTCTTCTTACTAGCATCATGTTTTACACCTTAAAGGGAAAGCAGAACTAAAAAAATGCAATTCTAGATTTATTTTTGTCAAGTTCATAAGGAACCTTGTTACATTAAGGACAGTAAAGAAAGATCACTAACAACTGTCCTAATAGCCAGCTGCCAAAATATCCTAAACGTACCAGTCCTGTTTCTAATGATGTCAGAATCATATCCAGTGTTCCAGTGTTCAAATATGTATTCTTCTGCCATTAAAAGCTAACTGTTGCACTTTTAATAGTATCACCTATTTGTTAAGAACCTATGAGTGATCAGAACGTGTGAATGAATTTACTTTCTACACTGCAATTTCAGTATTTATTCTGAAATACTAGTTGAAGCTATTCTAAAGGTAAAATATTCTGAGCTGTTGTACCAGCATTTCTGTGGATGATCTTTGTGCCTTGGTCTAGAAGCAGATGGCTGTCATTTCAAGGTGATGACCTGTCCTGTTTCTTTAGAACCTCGAGGTGGTTTTTGGGGGATGTGGGGGAGTGGGAAGGAAGCAACAATCTGTCTTCTGGTATTTATAATGGATTCAAAGTGCATTTGAAATGATTCTCTTTTTTTGTTTGTTTGTTTCCTTCTCTCTAGAAAATACAAAGGATATTCTCATCATATATGAACAAGAAGCAGAAGAGTGGGCTCTGTATTTAAAATCTCTTTTTGGACACATAGTGAACGAAGGAGGAATCTTGCTCTACAATCTAGAGACTTTGTCTTTCAAGCGCCGGGAGCTATTCTCTTTATCCTGTTATAAATGTAAACTCCTGATACTGTCATGTGGACTTCTTAACTGCCTGAATCGAAAGAGAAGTTATTTTCTGGAGCAAGTTCTGAAACCTTCAGATAATGTGGTGATTCTTCTTTGTGGAGTGGAGAATTCAGAGATTCTTCATGAGATACTGACCTTAGATGGAGGCAGCAAAGAGATTTCCACTGATCAGGAACCTGAGGAGTATCTCTCTGTTGTTACTGGAATTATTCAAGCAGGTAATCTAAAATGAAAACTTTGTATGATTTTCTTAGCTGTATTACTATCATTTGAAAGTGGAAAAAGGTGATAATTCAGATTTTCACTGACACCTGTGAACGTACCATCACTACTTCATGGTAAGATTGAAGAATGGACATACACTTGTTTTTCTTTTTCCTAAATTTACAAATCTCAGAAACAGCACAAAACTATGTGTTTATGTTTCATCTCTTCAAAATGTCTTAATATGATAGTGTATGTATCATTTTAGATAAATCTGACAGAGTAAAACACAGTTACTGACCAAAACTCAGTTTCACGGATGGCATAATTTTCTGTGCAAGAGCAGAAGTTCCCTTACCCTTTTACTAACCCAAGTGATGAGCCTGTACTGGAAGGACTAAAACTATCTAGTTTGTATGTGTTTGCACATCCATAGAAGCTACAAAGGAGCGTTAATGTAAAAACTAGCACTTCTGGAATGGAAGAAAAACCCGGTACTGAAATGGCAAAGTCTGTGCGCATGGTTTAATTTAGCCCAAAATTTAACCTTTACAGGCTGCACAAATGAAACTGAGAAATAGCTTTAGAAAGACAGACGTGTGGACTGCTCTGGAAAGGCAAATGTAGGTTGTGCACAGGTTCGGGATAGATGGCTAATGTGTTTTCCTTTGAATGCGTGGACTGCTTTGAAGGCAAATGTAGGTTGTGCACAGGTTTGGGATAGATGGCTAATGTGTTTTCCTTTGAAAGCATATTTGCTTCTGCTTCTTTCTAGTCTCTAGGTGTTTTACCTCCTCTCAGCTCTTGCTTTTTTGTCATAAATTTGACTGCTCAGCAGAACATTGTGCTTCTGTCTTTGTTACATGCGAGGTGCCATTTTGCTAGCATGGGAGCTTGTGCTTGAGAAAGACATCCTGCCCTTCAGGAATTTTACTCAGAAATTAGCTGGTTTTAGATGCAGATGAAGAACCAAGAATATTCTTTTGAATACAGGGGTAGAAAGACCCCAGCTGAGTCAGTGACCTAGCTGGCTATCCCTGCTGCCTTGTGCTTGAGCAGGTAAGCTTAAGCATTTTATAAGGCTTTCAAACCTGCCCAGAATGTGTCTACACACAATCTGACTATATCACATCAGTGCATTCAAAACTATGTTTCAGGCTCCTCCTTCCCAGCCATCTCCTGTTCCAGCGTATCTTGTTGTTTGGTATTTATTAACCTTTACCTCATTGTATCTTTTTCTGAACATCTCTCAGACTTTAAGTTTTGGGGCTCGTTACAGTTGCCTGATTTGGTTTCAGGAGGTAATGTTTGCAATTTCTGACTGTGCCTGATACTTAGCTTCAGATTGAAGTTCCTTGTCAGCTTTTAGTGGAATGAAAATAGCAGGTCTATACTATGTATGTCTCTGTATATATGGGAAGGAAATGGGCTCAGAGACAGACCGTTGACTCATGCACAGGAAATTGCAAACTCTTCTACAAAGATAAACAGTTTCCTAGAAGACAGATGATGCTTTGGTCTGTGCATTCACAAAAAAATATTTATTGGATCTGCCCTTGGGATTTTATTTACATTGTAATGTCAAGCGACTTATAGGTGTTCAAATGATCTTTTCTTTGGCGATGGTCAGTATCAGGGAACTTCAGAGACAAGTACAACAGCTATTAATGAATAGCTGTTGAAGGGCTCAGTCTCAGTGTTGTATGTCTTTACCAGGGATGCCTACACTGTGGCTGGGATCAGACAAGTCCAGTTGCCTGAACTACGTGTAGAACTGGGAGTAGTGTTGCTGCCTGGTGCTTCCTCCATACACATAGCTGAGAACTGCTTTGGCTGTGTTTTTTCTGTGCTGGTGTGCCCTGGCCATCAGGCAGGCCAGCTCAGGTCAGTGCTTGCTGGGAGACCTCTATACTGCTCTCTGGTGCACAGTGAAAGTGTTCCAACTGCAAGATTTGCTGTAAACTGCGTGTCGATGTAAGGTCTGAGGAATGAAGATGTGCATGTCTTATCACCATTTACCTTTGCTTAAACATAATGATAACTGCTTGCAGTGTCTGTATTTATGATACTCTTGTAGAATCCTGTTAAGCTCTTAGCCTTTTTGGTATCTGTGGCGGGGATTTTGGCAGATTACGCATCCGGAAAAAAGATTTTTCCCTTGTATTTAAAATGACTTGCTAAGGGGTTAAGTATACTTGGATTATTTTTCCTTTGGAGCACTTTTTATGCCTTTCTTTGGGACAATGCACTGACAAAATTTCCCATCTTTCTTCTTATGTATCATCATCTTCTGTATCTTTTAATTGTTTTCAGTCCTCTCTTGTCCCATCTATTTCTGCTTTTGGAGATAGTGATGAAAACACTTTTGTGTATGTTCTCTGTGCTTTTCTGTTCTTTTTTGTACCCAAGCTGTTCATTGCTGTTCAGTTGTTCCTCCATGCGTTTATACCTTCTTGTCTCCTCAGTTATTAACAAGACACTCTTACCAAAGTTTAAAAACTTAGTGATTTACTTTAATTACAGTGATTACATGGCAACACACACCGTTGTGCACCACTGCAACTAAATTCCATTAATCCCTTAGCACAGCGGGCCATCAAGATCCTAGGTCTGATTGATGTCAGGGCTCAGGAGTGGCTTGAGGGTAGTTACTGAAGACAGATGCTAAATTGGGTTGTTACCTCACAGTCCTGAAGAGCATTAATAACAGCATATCTTAGGTGCCAGTACTCACCACCCTTCCACTTCGGCTTTCTCCGTACTCTGCAAAGTTCCTAGTTCCACTTCTCAGCTGTGTCTCCTCCCCTAGATGTTATTCTCCTTGCACTGTGTCTACAGTCTGAGATGGAGTGCAAAATAAATCTAATTTTATATGCCCCCCCAATTATTTTGCAAAAACCTTTCACCTACCAGATGGTGCTAGTTTCATCTTGTTGGAGCAGGCAGGGCTTTTACCTGTTAAAATTTCCATCTACTTCTGAAGCAGTATATATGCCAAAAATTCTAGGCAAAAAACAATGCTCAGTAAAACTAAGTAAAATGGAAAATGCAGGGGGTTCTGTACCCAGCAGAGAGTTTTTTTGCCCTGTAATGCGATTCAGAGATGAAATTTGTAGTTTGTCATTCCTCTTTGGATGTGATTTTGGAGGAGCAAAACTGAGATATGGAAATCACCTTTCTGATATGTGCTTCCTGGATGGTGAAGGCTTTTACTGTATTCACCTTATGTGTGAAGCAGAACACAAATATTTTTATTGTTGACAAAATAATCCTTTAGCAGGATTTCTTTACAAAATACAAAATACTTCATTGTTTGAAACAGCTATAGTCAGATTTAGAGTTGGTTTTGAATTTTGTGTAAGAGCCTGTTGTCATAAAAAAAGATAAATCTCTGGGAAAGAGTAGAACACTCAGAAATTGTATTATTCTGTGTTATCATCTAAGATGGCCCAGTGTGACTCTAGAATCCTGAATTTTCTTTAGCAGCTTTCCCTAATATTGCAAAAGTAGAATCAGGAGACACATTTTGTTTGCATCTGCCTTTTCCTTTCACGTTTTCTTTCTACATCTTCTCCTTGGTCTGCTGAGCTGTGTGTACCTCTTTTTATATTTAATTGACATATTTTTGATGTATTAATTCAGTACCCTGGGGTTTTTAGCCCAGATATAGCTGCGGTTTTGTTTAGTCCTGAAACACCTCCACTTGAGATTCAGGCTAGCCATATGTTTAAGCAGGGAATCTGTAGATATAGATCTGCAAGCTGGAGGTAGTTACATAGATCTTTAAATGTCCTGATTTCCTCCTGTAGTTATTTGTGCCTCAGTATTGATGTGCAATAAGAGAACAGGTCTTATCAAATACAAATAATTTTCTGTGACACTGTTTCTAAAGTGTGCTGACACTTTTATGAGACTTTTTGGTGGGATTTCACAGTACAGCTCAGGAGTCATAGGTATCCATTAGGCTGCTTGCTGTTTTATTAGGTTTCATTGTTTACAGCTCAACAAAAGAATTCTTGTCAGTTCAACTTCCAGCCTTTTCTCTAAGCAGTGGTATCCTCTTTTTCTTTTTCTTTTTGGCCAAAAATATGAAGGGAATCTACTTCTATAAAATCTGATAGTTGAGAACTGCTCAACAAGCCTACATGTATCCATTCATTATCTGCTGTTGTATTGAAAAGTGAGAAGAGGTATATAAAGTAACATAACTAGACATATATATAGTAACATAAATAAAATAAATAAACATATATAAATAATATATATGTAAACATATATAAATAAAATAAATAAACATACATAAAGTAACATAACTAGACAACTGTATCCACAGTGTGACAGGCCAGGAAAGAGTCTCAGAACGAGTATGTAATTTTTACCTGAGACAGCAACGTGCCATTAATTTCTGATTGCTACTTAAAAAGTATCCAGTGTAGCTGCACACAATTTTAATCACCAAGAAGAGTAATACTAAGAAAACTACTTTTGCAACCACTAGTAAGGTATAGATCTGGAATAATGAGATACTGGCGTTGCGTATTTGTCTCTAAATGTAGGACAATCAGGCTGGGAGCTTTAATTAGGACTTAACATATGCAAATCTTCAGATGGCTTCAGATATAGGGCTAATTTTGACTGGGCAGGTCACAGAAAAGAAAAATAAATCACTGTATTCTTACCATAACCTTTTATGGTATCTGTCTCCTGTTTCATTTCAACAGTACAGTGGCATAGATTTTTATTGGACTTCTACCAAGAATTTGGGTATAATGTTGAATACTGAAGTAACACTTCACATTTTGAATCCACTGTGTTATGGTTTGAGAAAACCAATAACAGTTTATTGTCATTAAGACAATTATTCTGTCATCCAATGACCCCTCTCTCAAGGGAGAGAGAGCTATGCTGAAAACTTTTCTGATTTGTATCGAATGTGACGTTTGTGGTGTGAAATAATCCTGTTGGCCAGCCTTGGTCAAATGCCCAGGCCTCGCTCCTCCTTGTCCCTGCACCTGGCAAGGCTTGAAAACACTGAGACCTTGAATCCCACATAGCCTAGCTGGCTGTAAAGTAAATATTTTCACAAATTCAGACACTAGAGTCTTCTAAAAGTGCAGTTTTCCCCACCATTAGAAGAAAAGTTAGTTTTGTGTTGCTCAACCCAGGACACACTGCTTTGCTTGTTCTCCTGTAAAATCCTCTTCACGTTGGTGCTTAAATATGAGTAACTAATGATGATGGATTTTCTTAGGCTGTCAGCAAGACTTGTGCTGATGAGCTAAACCCCTTAAATTAACTTTACCATTATCTTCAATGGGCAAGTGTTTCACCTAGGTTTTGACACTGATTTAGAGTCTATGAGGAAATGAAGCTGAAGTGCTATAAAGAGGCACAGTGACAAGTAAACAAAATCACTATAATTTTGGGGTGGGTTCCATTAGAAGAAAAGTTAGTTTTGTGTTGCTCAACCCAGGACACACTGCTTTGCTTGTTCTCCTGTAAAATCCTCTTCACGTTGGTGCTTAAATATGAGTAACTAATGATGATGGATTTTCTTAGGCTGTCAGCAAGACTTGTGCTGATGAGCTAAACCCCTTAAATTAACTTTACCATTATCTTCAATGGGCAAGTGTTTCACCTAGGTTTTGACACTGATTTAGTGTCTATGAGGAAATGAAGCTGAAGTGCTACGAAGAGCCACAGCTGACAAGGAAACAAAATCACTATAATTTTGGGGTGGGTTTGTTTGTTTGTGACTACTGAGTACAGCATGGTTTTGTGTGTGTGCGTGAGCTAAAGTCTTCATTGTAAAGATTTCTCACATGAACACACAAGACTGAGTAAATAGGGGGGGAAGTAGGTGGGTGGTTCTGGCCTCATTCGCTGGCAGGGGAGGTTGCAGTAGGTGAGACCACACCGTTGTGCCTCCCTTTCCTCCTTCCCCAATGTATTTACATTCAGACAGTGCATACCACTGTTGGTACTTAAGGCAGTGAGGTCATCTGCTTATTGAGGAGTACCTCAAATGCCAATTAAACTTTTTTATTAAAAGGAAAATAATCTGTATGTATTTATTGTAAGCAGAAGGGGCATTCTGTTAGTTGAAGTGTGCTATGGTATAGTCTTAACTTCCATTTTGCCCTGCCAATGAGTCTTTGAACTGCTCTGCAGGGACTGCTGCAAAGATTACCAGATTTGTTAATCTCCTTAAGATGTTGTGTTTCTCCATCTCCGCACAGAGCGATTGCTGGGATGCCAGTGCAGTGGTGGGGATGACTGTCAACAAGAAATTGCAGTTAGTGTCACTAACTTGTCTCATCTGGCATGTGATCCTGGCTATTTCAAACCAGAAGAGAAACTGAAGTGGCAGCCTGGAGGTGGCAAGCATAGATAGGATGTTGAGACTACCATCCCCTGCTGCTTGAACTGTTTGAGTTCTTTGTCTGTCTTCTCTTATTTCTGCAAAATCCAGAGAAGACTTTATTTCTTATATAATCATATTTCTTAGCAGCTCATGTTTCAATCTGTCTAGCCAGTCATGGTGACCTGTACCCTTGGATTCTGAAGAATGCATCATGAATGTGATGTTTTTCCTCCTATTTTTGACACTAATTGGATGAAAACTGCTTACACCTGGAAAAGTGAATGCACTGACATCTTAAAGTGGATGGTTTTTAACAGCATTTAGGACAAGCTCATAAAGAGTTTTATTAATAATAAAAGTCAAATGACTAGAACATAAGCATTACTGCAACAGCATGTACTAATTTAAATTAATATACTGTGATTTTACTATTGTTTATTTAGGTTATAAATTTTTTATTTTCAAAATGAATTAATGGATTTATCAGCGTTAGTCTGCTCTATCAATGTTGCAAGTGGACACCATCCAAATTTATGTCTTGTTTATGGCACAATAGTCATGAGTCAGTATTTAGTTGTGGTTTTTAAGCAGTAAAGGCTATTTCTAAACCTTACAAATAATTTAAGTTTAAGGTTTCCAGCAGATAGTTTCCAGCTAGACCTGTAAAATGGGTATGTGAATCTGTAGTCTTACATGTCCTTCATATAACGTATTATTGACTCTTGTTGTGTTTTACACTGTGGTTACCAATCATAATTACTGAAAAGTTATTTTTGGAAGGCATCTAGAAAAGTCCTCTGGAAATGCATTTTTTGTGTATTTTTTGGCACACAAGTGTTATTATAACAAAACTGCTGTTTGTGATTTCACCATGATGAATTTCTGTTAAGCTAGTGTCAGCTTCTTGGAAATGGGATAAAATAAGGGTTGTGTTGTTTTCCAGATTAAAAAAATTGGAACATCTATCCCTGACAAAATTCAGTGTTCTAGTTCATACTGGGGAAAAAAAAAATCAATATTAGGACAGCAAAAGAACAACTGTTGTGGTTTTTTTTATAGAATCAGATTTTGCTTTTTGTAGAGCTTCTCTGTACTTAAATGGCTGTGAGGACAGAACTTGGTCTAGAAAATGTTACTACAGTAGCTAGGTGTTCAGAAGTCAAACAGTTACAGGTGCAAAGTAGCTTATTAAACTTTATTTAGGCCCCTTGTTCATATGCATTGATTGCCTTTAATTATGTAAGTGCAGTCTCCCCCCATTACTCCTGCCAAGAACCTGTCCTCATTAGTACACGGGATAAATAGTACTCGGTTAATTAGCAGTTATTTGATACTTTGTTTTGTGTTTGAGTTTGTGGTTGCATTATTTATGTATTGAATGCCATTCAGATCCTGTTGAGAAAACAGAATTATTAATTTCCTAATGTGCTTTTCTATAGAACTAATTTCTGTATTGAGTGCATTCCAAATGTTATTTTATTTTATCATCATTTTACATACTAGTATTTAGTAAGTTTAGGGTGAAGCATTTCTTCCACCTCTGATACCACTCTAAGACATTACTTTTCATACCACTTAGCAGTATACAGTATTTTTTATGTCCATATTCAAACTCCCCTTTATTTCAGATGTCTGCAGGTCAGCTGTAAGGTGTCACAGAAAGTGCAATACAAAACTAATGAGCGCTTCTGAAAATCATGTTTTAAAAGTCTTCTAGCTTTTTGCCTCAAAACTTCAGGATGAGAACCAGAAATTATCTAAATTCTGTGGAGCAACATTCAGCTAATATCACTGTGCTTTCTCTCACTGGAATCGTCTCCTCATTCACTGAACTCTTGTTATTACAAAAATAACTGAGTCCGAGTATGATAAACAACACCTTCTTTAAGTACAAAACCACTAGTCAATGCCAGAATAGGTCTAATTTGTGCACTGTCCACAGTACAGACCAATTTAAAAGAAATAGTCAACAATATGCTACAAAGGAGAGAGACTGCTTTTGAGTGTTTGGTTTTATGCAACCTTAATAAAGTCATTGTAAAGCAGTTGCTTTCCCAGGCTCCTCATCTCATCCTAGCCTTGGCATCTTTACCCAGTGACTCTTCAGTCATGGTCCCCTGTAGAAATATTGCTTATTCACTTCTGGAGCACCCAGCAATATGTGTGGGGTCCTGATCAGGATCCCACAGATGCTGTGCAACAGCGTGTTTGTTGAGTTAGCTGCATCTCACAATATGGAGCTCAAGCAGACCTTGTATCTCGTATGTCAATGTTACCTCAGATGTGGAAAAACGGGTGATAACTTGAGGCAGCATAAAGAAAGAGTGGCATTAGACAGATACTGCATAATATGACAGAAAATCTGGTAGCTATTAAGCCATCAAAATCATTTCAACAAATGGGAACTGACAGCGGTTTTTAATATTTGACCAGTACTTTACAATGTGGCCATTGCTTTTTGACCCAATACTGGGAACTCGGTAGCCAGACTTACTATATTATCGACTACAGCCCTGCATAGTTCTCCCTGATGCCTGCATCCGTTTTCCATTTCTCACTTTCCTGCACATGATTCTATTCTCTTTCATTTTGGCCAACTCCTCTCCCATTCCTCATCTTTCAGGGACTTTCAGGGAAAGTCTTCCTTCCCAAGCCTATATTTCTTACCTGCTGTAGTAAATTGAAAAGATCAGTCACAGGGATGTTTACTGAAACAGAATAAATACAATTCCCTCTAAAGATCTCTCTAGGCTTGTTCCTCTCCACTAGCCCTTGGATATTTTTTTTTTAATTTTTCTTTTTCTGTCTGCAAAGCTGTAGCTTTAAAATAGCTGTATCTTTCATCTCAAAGAACATACAGAATTTCATCTAAAAAACGAAAGTCGAAATTGGTGTCATGTTATTTCCATGTTTCTGAGATTTTAGGTTGCTTGTCCATTTGTTCTCTTAGCTCTCGTTTTATTTTGCAAATCTTCCTCTCGTCCTCTCTGATGCCAAGATCTTCCTTACAGCAAACTCAACATTCTGTTAAACAATCAAGTAGGATAGCAATGATCGCTGTCATCAGAGTTGATGACCATTTAGAGATATTTACAAGTAGATGCCATTAAAGAATTACTCTTTTTTCCTAGGTAAGCCACAGAATGAAAATCCTGGAGACTCCTTGTCTTACATCTATGAAACAGTTCTTGCAGACGGTGAGTTTAATTCCCCTTGCATTTACTTGAATAAAGCCAGTACATTTAATTTGTTTTCTTACATCTTGTCAGACATGAAAGGCAATAAACTAACCTCACCATAGCATACAGTTGTGTAGAAGAACATGTCTTGTTCTCAAACATCCACCCACACATCTATGCACACATATTCTGGTGAGGAGTGTGAAAAGGGGAGGAGATTCAACAGGGATGTTTCCTTTTTCCTTTCATTTCAGAGTAGAGAAAAAGGGTGACATGAAGTGATTTCCTTTTCTGTTCTCAGCATGAGGAGTTTCGCCTGTAGTAAAGAAAGCGCTGATTTGAAATTTCAGATAGATGAGTGCTACTCACACTACATTTGCAGTATGATTTGTCGGCCCTGCATCCCAACTTCAACCCTTGTTGACCGCTGCCATTCTGGTCTATTTATATTTGTGAAAGCCCCTAAAGAGTCTTAATAGGGGGAAACAGACTGGCAAAATCTCCACTTGCTTTTAGTAAAGAGCTACATAACATGTTTCCTATCCCCAACTCTTACTTAAACAATTTTGTTTCTGGGATGACACTGTCGGGAAGTGCACTGGGTGTGCTGACTGATGGAGCAGCGTAAGTTATTTTGGAATTCCTGGCATAGCAATTCTGTGCTGCTGGACTCTGAGGTTACTGGCTCCATTTGCTCTATTTTGCTGGCAAGGTATAAGGGCAGAAGGATGCTGCAAGCTCACTGGCTCTTCCTTACTGGAACGAGTTCAATATACATGACAGTGGTGTATGGAGTTCAGAATTTTAGGTTTTTTGGTTCACAATGCAGAACAATCTTGGAGCACGTGGGTCGGATTCTTTTCAGGTAAAACTAAAATGGTAAGTGTGCCCAGGGGGATCACTGGGTGCACTTCAGACACTAAAAGGTATGCATTATGGAGGTCCAGACCAGAATTAGTTGGAAATATGCTGCTTTGAAATATGTGTTGTGTGGAATGGGTATTTAGTGCCAACCATTTCTCACTAACAAATCTTCTCCTATTGGTGCTCCTTCCTTTCTGATAGGGACTGTTTGTGACTATGATGGCATCTAGGTGTATTTGTGTCATCTGAAGCAGAAAGCTGCTGTGAAGTTGCACTGTTGTATCCCTACAGATGTATTGTCAAGATTTCTAAAGATGTCTCTTTTGGTCCTGTGTTATGTGCCATGGGTCAGTGCATTGAAGAAGTTTGTTGGTATAAAGAAGGTTTTTTTTTGTCAGTACTGGGTGATCATCCAGGTGCTCAATAAGCTGGCATCACTGTTCTCAGTCACGATCCTGATCTCCAAAAAATGAGACAGTAAAAGAGGGAATAGTCAGGGAAAACAGAGAATCCCAAGAAAACAAGCAGTGGGGAGATGTTCCTCCAAGCTACTCCTGCTTTAAACCCTGACTCTTTATATGAATCCTTTGCTGTTTTTATATAGGGGGACTTGAAGAGCCACTTTAAGTCAAAGTTTCCCGTCTGCTGAATGGCTGATGTTGTAATAAAGTGAACTGAGGATTTTCCAGCCAAGAATGTCTTGCATTAAGAGCAAAAAATTCACTTGAAATCTTTGCTAAACTTGCCGGGACTACAGTTCTCAGTCATCTTTTGGCAGTCCTCTTGATAGAGCTAATTGTGTGTAGTTTCTGCTGGTTAATGATGTCTAGTTGTTGCTCAGAGGATCAAAGAGATTCTCAAACACTGTGAGTGAAAGGGACAGCTAGGAAAGGGGGATTCCCAATAAATGTATCCTGTACATGAGGTTAAGACTGACTCCTGAATGAGTATGAGGAAATAAGTGGTCAGCATTTCTTCTGTGGTGGTGCAACAGAGAGCAGTTTTCTGGTATCACCGCAAAACTTGGGAGGGAAGAGTACTCCAAGAGGTGAAATGATTGCAGTTCCAAAGATTCAGTACGTCAGTCTTTATGAAACCAAGAAAGGTAAAATGGCAGCTGCAGGTGAACCAGTGTTTGGGCCCTGCAGAAAGTAGGTGAATCTTCAGGTAACCAGACAGGATTTGACTTTGGATAGATTGTGAAAAAATGTTTCCAGGGACTCTCTCTTCTCTTTGCTTCTCCTTAATAAGAAGGAAGTGTATGCAGTGCTAAATTGTATATATACACAAAACAGGTGTCAGGAGAAATTATAAACCAAGAAAGGATTTTTGCTAGAATGCTATAAATTCACAGAAGAACAGCATTTTATGTAAGGTTTTAAGTGGAAGCTGGCACGCTGAAAGCTGAAGTTTGGTTTGAGTGTACACGTATAATACAAAAGAGAGGATAAGCTGAGAGAAGATGGAATTTAGACTTGAACTGGAATGAAAGTTGAACACATCAGAAGTGTAAAGCTAAATGAGAAATCTAAAGCAACAATGGTGGAAAGAGCAGCAAGTATGTGACAAGACATAGAAAAAAAACCCAAAATAAAACAAACTATATCCAATAAAGCAAAGATAGATGGGGAGTGAGAAAGTGCTAACAATCAATAAGAAGTGATTGACTGAAGTGAATTGTGCAAGGCCTTGAGGGAAAAGGTCGAGAGTACATTGGAAAATGGAAAACAATATGATCACTGAGATCCTTTGGGGAAATGTAAGCTACAGGCAGATGTGAAAACAATTGATTTGCTGGGGAGGGATGGAAAAGATCCAGTTGTGGAATGCTCATCACCATGATAGGAATTTATGAGGACTTATTCCTCTAGGTGATAACTGAACAAGTCAGCTCTTTTAGCCACTCGCAAATGTCGTTATGTATTTACTTTCTTTCTGGTTTCTATATAAGAAAAGCAGACTTATTTTTACTACTAGAAAGTTGTATTTTGAGAAGCTCCCTTGTAGGTCCTCGGGAAATTTTCTGCTCCAAAAAAAAACATTATTTAGAATTTGTACTGAAGTTGAGAAAGTGAAGCACTCTTACTTGGATCTGCGTATACAGTCTTGTAACAACGCAGATAAAATGGGAATGCCTTATTGTGGAATCAGCACTCATTATTTTACCTACAAAACAGAGCTAACCTCAGATTTAAATACCCATGAGGTGATACGGAGCTTCAGAAAAGGCTGCTCCCCTTCTGTGAAACAGTTTGTCTTTTTAACATTTTTTTGTTAAGACTTGTATCCTAGCACTAATAAAGTGAACCAGAAACGGGCAAGCGGAGCACAAAAAGATGATTTTAAAGTACAATAGCCTATTAAGAGCAGACATCTTTTGGTCCTGCTCAGAGGTCTTGTCAAACTAACATACTTGTGCATACTTTTACCTGTATCCTTTACCAAACTAACCTGAAGAAAGGCCAGCACTTTGTAACAAAATAGGTGGCATACCTTCTGGAGATAAAAAAGAGCTATCAGAATACCTCTGCTCTGCTATTCTTTACTTATAATGCTATCTGAAATCCTGTTTTAGTAAAATGTGCCTATTTTGGGGTCTAGGTGTTGGATTAAAGGACAGTGTCTTAAAAGATAAAGACCTCAGATTACTTTCATATTCATAATGCTAACAAAAGGAAAATAATGGGGAATTAGAAAGCAAGCATGGTTTGCAGATGTGTCTAAATATATCACTGTTGATTGTGTTCCTGAGAAGGCAGTGTACCTTTTAGCCCGCTTTAAGGGTCAGTAGATTTTAGCTATTTCAAACCTAAAGTGGGAGTAAATTGCAAAGCAGCCTGTCCCCTGGTGAGTCAGTCTTGCTGACAACTCACTTTTTTTTTTTCCCTTTCTTTAATACCAAATGTGTCTGGCGTGAGCCTTTCTGCTGACAGCAGCTGTGGCAGCATGGCATGGGGAGACATGTGGTCCCTTAGATAGAGAAGTCCCGTGTAATTTAGAACTGTACAGATCAAGAACAGCATCATGAATTTCGTCCAGGCGTCGATAAGAGCCCTGTGCAGGTATTGGAGCTCTGCTGTCACACTCAAGACTAAGACAGGCTATTTGGTAAATGAGCTGCTGCAGTCCGAGCTAGCTTCTGTCACCAGATTGATTTTAGGGATGCTGTAAAGTGGAGAATATTGTCTTGTGTAAGTAAACATTTGGATGCTATTAATGATATGTTTCCTGTACTTTCAGTAGGACGAAGGCTGAGAATGCCAGCAACCAGCACCTCTCCCCCTGCCTCTCCCAATGCAGTTGCCTAAAGGACTTTTCAATTATTTAAATTTAATGACCTTCCAGCTATGTGATTTTTTGAACTTTGCTGACTGTAAAGAATATGCTTCATTAAGAGAATAGCGTCAGACTTGGTCAGGAGAGGAAGATTTGGCTGCACACTTGTAGTTCCTTGAGGGTGGCATCTGTAAAAACGTAAACCCTTATTTGGCCTGAAATCTGAGCTTTTGGCCTGCCTGCCAGGTGTGCTTCCCTGAAGTATGACTTGATTCTAAAATGCTCCCCTCTAGCTGTGTTCTTTTGTATCTCTGTAATTCAGAATGTGGCCACGTGCCACTTCTCTGTCCAAGCGCAGTGTGCAATTTGTGCCAGGCCAGTTATAAGAGGCTTGAATTGGAGTTTAGAGACAATAGAGCCACTAGGCAGCTGCAGCTAGCCCCTTTGGAATAATGTGGAAGTTGCAGGACCATTTTATCAGGCAAACAAGTTTTGGAGGTCTGCTCACAACCTGCTGTAAGGCCTTTTGTCTTCAGTGGTAAATTTGAGTCAGCAGCAGGAGGATAACCTGTCTCTGCTCTCGTAACAGCACGCCTCAGATTTTGGGCAATGTTTGGTGCTGTATAATCCTTCACTGAAACAAAGGTGAGATATATATTGCTGATACCACAGAGAAATGGAAAAAAAATGCCAAAATGTTCTTACTGTGGTAGAACACCAGTAACTCTGAAGTGGAGAGATGGACTCTTTAATAAAACATTAGGCTTTAAGAACGGAGAGCTGCTGTTGCACACAGAGGGCCGGACTTCAGTTTGCCTTTCCCTGGAGAAGAGGCAGGGTGAAAGCATGCAGAATGTAGAAGCTGGAAATAACAAACT